CTTCTCGCAGATACCGAGAATCGCCCTACCCCATGCTGCCAGTCGAAGAAGCCCTGTCATTGATCGAAGAGCATACCCCTGAACCGGAGGTTATCTCAGCACCAGTCAATCAGTCCATCATCAACTCAGTTCTGGCCGAGGATGTCAAGGCCAGAGAGAATGTTCCGGCATTTCGCGCCAGTATTGTGGATGGGTACGCAGTTGTGGCCCCTAAGGATGGCCAGCTGAAGGGCGTTTTCCCGGTAACAGCCATCTCTCATGCTTCACCTGGTGAGATCGGGGCTCTGAACGAGGGAGAACTGGCTAGAATCACCACAGGAGCCCCTCTGCCTCCTGGTGCCACGACTGTTGTTATGGTTGAGGATACTGTCCTCAAAACAATGTCAGATGATGGCAAGGAGGAGAAGGAAGTCGAAATTCAAGTCGATGGAGTAAAGGAGGGTGAGAACATCCGCGAAGTTGGTAGTGATGTCAAGCAAGGCACAGTTATCCTCAACAAGGGAGAGACTGTCAGCGGTGTGGGCGGTGAGATCGGTCTTCTCGCTTCCGTGGGAGTATCAGAAGCAAAGGTTTACCGTCGTCCTGTGGTAGCCGTACTATCTACTGGCGATGAGATTGTCGAGTACAACCGCCCGGGCAATCTAAAACTTGGCGAAGTCCGCGACACCAATCGAGTTACTCTCATGTCCGCAGCGAGGGAATGGGGTTATGAAGTTATCGATCTTGGCATTTCTAGTGACAAGCCCGGCACTTTGGAGGAGACTCTCCGTGATGGACTCAGACGTGCAGATCTTCTCATCACCACCGGTGGTGTCTCCATGGGCGAGCTCGATCTTCTTAAACCAACGATTGAGCGTTCTCTTGGCGGCACTATTCACTTCGGGCGTGTCGCTATGAAGCCTGGAAAACCAACCACCTTTGCCACAGTTCCTGTCAAGGACAATTCGGGCCAACGTGTTACCAAGACCATCTTCTCACTTCCTGGCAACCCGGCGTCGGCTCTGGTTACTTTCCATTTGTTTGTGCTTCCTTCACTGCACAAGTTATCTGGCGCCTCGACTAAGGGCCTCCCAAGAGTACCTGCAGTTATCTCGCACGATTTCCCCTTGGACCCTAGACCCGAGTATCATCGAGCTGTGGTCACAGTTGGCAAGGATGGGCTGCTCTCAGCTACGAGTACTGGAGGACAACGCAGCTCAAAGGTCGGAAGCTTGAGGTCAGCTAACGCCTTGGTCATTTTGCCCAGTGGGAAAGGGAAACTGGAGAAGGGGTCAAAGGTTGAGGTTTTGCTATTGAGCGCTGTGCAGGCTGCTTAGAATTTGGTTCAAGTCCCAGTAATGAGTCGCGACCAAACATACAATGCACATGCCTGCATAAAATAAAAATCTTTAGTAACATGTAATTCAAATCTCATCGTGATGTACACTTCCACCTCCATATGATACTGGTACTGGTACAGGTACAGCAAAAATACGTCCCACCAAGCCAATCTTCCAAACGCCTGACCAAATATTATTGGCGCAATGCATGCACGCGCTCCGTCTCTTTTGAGCACACAAGGTGGTGCCGTCGGTAAACCCGCCGGACTTGATGATGTCGTCTAAGGTAATGAATAGGTGACGGGCTTATTTCTTCTCGCCGAAGGCAGAGGCCTTGCTAGAGACTAGAAGACCAATGATAAGACCGAACAAGCCAAGCACTGAGCTGAAAATTTCGATGACAAGAATCTTGACGAAGCTAGAGACGTATAAGTAGTTGGTCTAAGTTATGACGATTTTAGATATATGACGTACAGTGACGGATCAGCAGCATCGGCTAGAGCAGCACCACTACCGTTAATTCCAACGGCAACACCGCAGACAAGGTTGCACATGCCGACGGTAATACCAGACCAGAAGAGGGCATACCCAGTGTAGTAGGAGTTGGCGGAGTAGAGCTCGGCTCCAGAGACGTTCTCGACTTTTTGCGAGAAGACGATAGCCATGATGACGCCGTAAATGGCGACAACTTCACAGAAGATAATGGAAATCAAGTTCTTGGTTCGGATACGAGGGGCCTTAACACCACCTCCGAGAATCGACGAGCCGGTAATGAAGATGCCCCTAAGACCAATGTGTCAGAGCTGTGCTATAAGGACTGTTGGTTGAGGGTATACGCACCATGCAGCGCCGACGACAGAGAGACCGATACAAAGCGCGATTCCTAGCGTCGCCCATGTATACGGCGAAACTGATTCGAGAAAACCGCCGATATCGAAGGACTCGCCACTTCCGGTGAAGAGCATGTCTGCACGACAGCATCATAGTCAGTAACAAGCACAATGAAGCCTCCAGGTATCAAGGCGTATGGGGAACGGGTTTCGCGTACAAGCTCCAACGATAGTCAAGAACGACCCAATGCCGCCCACTCCATAGTACAGACTCATTGCGACGGTATTCGAATTGTTATCTCGACAATCCAGGGGTTGATGTGTTGGCGATGGTGAGCGTTGGGTCGGATGAAGGTGGCTTATTTTGAGCTTGAAGGAGCTCCTGTTTCAAGGTACCTTGAAGCTGCGATGCGTGTCCAGCACGCAGGCAACTGGACTGGAATAACTGGGACCGACGTCACATGATGCGAGGCTGACTGGTGGTTTGCGGCGCGCTTAGTCATTCCCGCTTTGTACATCCCTCGAGGCAGATGCATCTCATCAACCTTGCCCTTGACAAACTATCAACCACCCAAAACCAAAAATAGTAATTTAACGACCGCCTTATTTTCGCGCCCGAACTTCAAAACCGAAACCATGGCTACCGGAGCGCAATCTTTCTATGAGCTGTACCGTCGAAGCAGGTACTACGCCATATTGCTATGCGCTGCTATGCGACAGCCTGACTAACATGGATCACTGCAGCATTGGCCTCGCTTTGACAGATACCCTTGATGATCTCATCAGCGACGAGCGCATCAACCCCCAGCTTGCTATGAAGATTCTGAGCAATTTTGATCAAGCAATCACCGAGGCTCTTCAGAAGAACGTTAAGGCTAGACTTCAGTTCAAGGTGGGCGAATACCTCCGAGCTCGGCGCACGTACTTCGACCAGAACTAACCACCTCTTCTACAGGGAAGCCTCGACACCTACCGATTCTGCGACGAAGTCTGGACCTTTTTGATCAAGAATGTAACCTTTAAAATGGACAATGGGAGTCAATCCGTCACGGCGAACAAGGTCAAGATTGTTAGCTGCAACGCCAAGAAGCCTGGCGAGGGACAATAAGTCAACGACTCACGAATGCGCACGATCGAACACGAAGAAAGGGATTTGCAACTTTCATAGATTGGGAAACTACCGAAATTCTGCTTTTCAGCATTGGGCGGCGTTTGGAACCTGGCTCTTTACAGTTACAGGACATTGATTTATCGTGGGCAAGAAGTTTAGCACTAGATTCAGTGCTAGGAGACTAGACTTGGTTTTATGCACAGCCAACAGAATTTTAGTCAAGAATGATATTATATTGCTTTATTTGGACTATGATACTGAATAGCGAGATAATAGCAACATGACGTCTATCTATTCACTTCCCCGGACTCTGATGAAGCCGGCCCCTCAGGGAGCAAGAAAATATCGGGCCTTGATATAAGGTGTTAAAATAAACTCAGTAAAAATTCTACTAAACCTACCCTAAATTTATACTAAATTACCTAAATTACCTAAATTTCTAATTCTTATTGTCATTTAGGATCAAAGTCCCGAGTTTTGTTTCCTCCCCTACTAACCTAGGTACTAAGGCTGGTTTCTTAAAACGTCTCTAACCAGGGGCGACTCCCGTTTGTCTAAGACAGGCGGTCCCCCACTAAAAGACCGCTCCTCAGCCTCTAACAAGGACGCCAAGTCAATTCATCATCATTAGGGGCCCTCCATTCTCACCAACCTAAGATCTCCATCCGAAGAATCCGACAACCATGCTTCGTAAACGTCAGAAGCCAGAAGCTGGACCTCCTTCTTCTTCACATTTACAGAAACAGCCATCCCCTGAGATGCCGTCACCAAGTAATTGGAGCCTGCGCTCGCAATGGATGTTCTTTGCAGTTGCTAGTGGTGCTTGTGCTGCTTTCAATGGAGTTTTTGCAAAGTTGTAAGTACAAGGACATATATCTCTTATAGCCACGATTATGTATAGGCTATTCCAAGTGTACAGTGCAGATCGCATCATAGAAACTTCAGGCTGGAAAGAGGTAGCTTAAAAGATCAAGGTATGCTAACTTACTCAGGACAACTACACAACTCACCACCAACCTATCCGACAGCATTGCCAAACTGATCGGCCTATCCGCTCATGAGCATATAGTCGAATATCTCGTTCGAGGCGTAAGTTGATCTCTTTTGCGCTTGCTCGACTCACAATTAAACCTTTCAGATATTCTTTGTCCTCAATTTGACATTCAATGGTGTTGTAAGTGACTTCTAGTCGAACCTCTGACCACTCACTTATATGCTTCAGATGTGGACGCTGTTTACTCAAGCTCTTGCCCGTGGTACGTCCACAACTCAAGTCTCCATCATGAATACATCCACGAACTTCATGGTTACCGCTGTCCTAGGTGCCTTGATCTTCTCAGAAGCTCTCCCTCCTCTGTGGTGGGCTGGTGCTGCGCTTCTTGTCGCAGGCAATGTCATCGTGGGACGGAAGGATGAGACTAAAGATGCTGGTGCTGCGGCAGCTGCTGAAGGGCCGAGTTATGTTCCTTTGCCGACTGAAGATGATGGTGCACAGCGGGATGACGATGAGGATGTTATTGATTTGGGCAGAGAGTCGGATGAGAGAACACGATAGACAGGCTGGCTAGTCACACAGTCGTGGTGCAGAATGTCACGAGAGACATGCTGTTGGATCTTTGATAGAATTGAGACATTTAGCATAAGTTGAAACAAAAATAGATTCAATCCCGAACACCATCTTATCATGCACGTCTCTATGGGAACAGATAATAAAATGTAGCAATCAACATGGTCATACAATTACCGCCGACTCTCCAGCTCGACACCCTCATCGAGCACCTCCTCGTCACCGTCCAATATTTGCCCTCTCCCCAGTGGCCGCTCACCACCAGAAGTGCTTGTCAGGCGAATCCGGCCTCCTGAGTATCTTGAAACTCGGCCAGAGAACCAATTACCGGCTCTTTGGAAAAGGTTCCAAAGTTGCTCTTGCCCCTCTTCGATACGATGATCATCCTTGGGGTTCTCGGCGGCTTCGACCTTGAATTGGTATTTCAAACAGTCTTTGACGGTTACGAGACCAGTGAGCTTGCCATGATATTCAATCAATATGACTCGAGGTCCGATCTTTTGAAACAGCTCCATGACAGTCTCGAGGGGTAGTCTCGGGTGAGCCGTGACGGGTGTTGCATCAACATATCGGCTAAAGTCGAGAGTTGAAGAGTGAGATGAGTCGCTATGGATGTTGTTGAGCGATGTACTGGACAGATTTGCCGACGATGGTGCAAATGTGCATTTTGCAGTCTCTGATAACGGTGAGGTTCGACTCATCTTATCAATGGCATATCGCAACTCCGTTCTGCCGATATAACCAACAAGTACCTTGGTGTGTTTATCTTCCACCACGGGGAAGCCTTGGTATCGATCATCAGCGAGGAGGCTCTGGACCTCACCCAAGGTAAGCCCATGAACGGGCATCGAGACAACAGAAGTTCTCATGACAGCTGAGACAGGAACTCCGAAATTGTGCTCTTCTTTACTGTCGAGGAATGGCATTCCACTGAACCATATCATTCTATCTGCGATGCCTCCCTTGCCAAACAATTCGCTGACAGCTTTGGTGACTCCAACGACGATCATGGTGGGGAGAATATAGTTCAGAGCACCTGTGAGCTCAAACATGATAACCACCACAGATATGGTGATGTGCATGATGCCACTGAGTGCCGCAGCGGCTCCTAGCAGGGCATATGTACCTGGTGTGATGCAAGGCTCGTCAGGTTTACATGCGGAAAAGAAGACGCTGGTGGGATTGGCTTCGTGAATAGCTTGAACAAGGATTCCAATTGTTCTTCCGAAGGACGCTCCAATTGCCATTGACGGAACGAAGATACCGGCGGGAACCTTGCATCCATAGGATAGTATAACCAGGAAAAGTCTTAGAAACGTCGCCAAGAACAGTGAAATTATGTTCCACCATCTCTTGTCAGGCTCACATAGACCATGGTACGATTCTCCACGCCCACATTCCGAGAAGAGGATCTCCATACTCTCTGTCATGTCTATCCTCAAGAAGGCGTTGGGGTAGGCAATAATAGCAGTTCCCGCTGCCAGTAAAGTCGCTTCGAGAACTGCATACTCCTTCAAGTACTTCTTTCTGAACGACTGAACCCGCAAATTCCACTTGATCACAAAGGCTCCGTAGAGACCTCCGAAAATACCAATTAGGACGTAGAATAGCAGCTCGAAGAAGTGCCAGTCGTTCTTATACTCGACCTGGAACATGACTAGTTGGCCCGTTCGGAAAGGATTCATAGCAGCGAGAACAGCTGTCGCTACCAGGGCACAAAAATAGCTTCGCCATAATGTCTTGAGAGGAAACTGGTTCGACATCTCCTCAAGAGAGAAAAGCACACCGCCAATAGGACTGCCAAAGGCGACAGCGACACCGGCAGCTGCCGAGGCGCTCAGAAACTCCCTAGTCTTAGAAGCGTTGCGTTTGTATTTGTCGAAAAGTCGGGAGATCACATTTCCCGTACACACGGCGTAGTGTACACTTGGGCCTTCTTTTCCAACAGACAAACCAGAGGCGATAGCTAGAGGGAGGCATACCGACTTGATGATCAAAGTCCACCATCCAAGGAAGCCTTTCATAACGAACCCAGCAATGATGCACTTGATCTCAGAAATACCTGAACCGGCAGCATATGGTGCAAAAGACTTAACCAAGGTGCCTGCGACACAAGCAAATAGAGTCTATGCCGTTAGTATAAACAAGTCCGAATGAAGACTTGGCACTTACTGCAAAGACAAAATAGATAAAATAGTTGAAAGGTTCGAAGCCAGTCCATCTGTGCCACTGATCGCAGCCTGTCTGGCATCAGCATCATTCTTGTCATCATACCCTGGGTAGCCTGGACACCACATACCATTCTCTTCTCCCCAGCAGCAGAAGTTCTCATTTAAATAGAAGCCTGTCTCGCAGTAGCCCATCTTGACGTCGGAGAGCCATTCTGTAATGATATTGAGTAGTGCTGCATTCAAGCCAATAGCAACACCAATGATTGTTACCACGATCCAGGCTTGCGCTGCATCATAACTCCTCCACAGCTGATATCGCCAGCCTGGCTGTCCTTTATCGTAGAGGCCGGCCGCTTGCTTTCTTCGCGCCTTACGCTTAGCTTGCTCTCGCGCCGCATCTTGCACCCAGTCTGCCGTATATCAGTATCGGAGTCCGTATTGTAGTCGATCGAGTCGCATACCTATTGTTGTAAAGTCCTGGTCCAGCTAGTTAGCACAGAGCCGCATATCCAGTGTCCCACAACATACTTCATATCTCTTAATCTCGGCAATCTCCTCCTCGATAAGCCCAGCCCCTGTCCGTGCTGCACTCCCTGTTTCTTGATCTGCATTCGAAAAGACGGAGGATAAACGCGATACCACCGAAGGACGTCTTTCAAGTCCAGGTCCAGGAGGCGCCAAGCTGAAGGATGATTGTCGCACGTTCATGGTTCAGGCAAGGCGACCATTGTCGCTCAACCGCTATCTTTGAAGTCGCGCAAGTTGGGATGATCGGATTGAATGATTAAAAATGCTAGCGAGGCGAAGATGAGGGCTGTTTCTTTGGTAAAGGCTATTTATTTCGTAAACGTTATATGGTGAGTGTCATAGTGACCAACAGGGATGCTGACAGCTGATGTGTGGCTTTGGGTTCAGCCACAGTATCGCGTTTAGTGGTTGCAGCATCGCGTCTCGGACCTCATCAGTGAATGTCATTCTTCGTTTACTGTAGGTATCTTGGCTTCACAAGAACAGTAATTTCACATTCAACTCGACGTATCAGCCATTGATATCGATGCAAAACCTTCGATATTCTCTTTGATAAGCATATCCCTCATATTTCCTTCATTCTCGACTCCCAACTCTCAAACGAATCGCAGCCCCTGATACAATTCTTGGAGAATTCGCTTGTAGTCAAGGTATGGCTCACATTTCCTGTTTTCAAGATGGTCGTGCAATTCAAGTGTCATTCTCAACTTTGAATTTACCGTGTGCTTCATTCTGGTGTTTATTTGTCCCTGCCTTGTATTTTCTGGTTACTCCTACGACTCTCTTACCCCTGTACTCAACTTTGACCTTCGTCCTCCGCCTCACGCATCGATGCATTTGTTTAGCTCTTCTAACTCACTCAGACTCACTCAATCTTTTCACATTTCCCTGCAATTTCTCTACTACCGCCATGCCTTATAACACCACTGCTATTCCTCCTCGGAAGGAGCCTACAGGCCAGAATCAGCTCCCTCGTAAGCTACCTATTGACCATACTCTTCAGTCCCAACCTAACATGACGATAGTCTCTAGAGTTAAAAAGATCATCGCACAAGACCCAGATATCGGTCTGTGCTCTAACAATGCAGCCTTCGTGATAACTCTCGCTGCCGTATGTGCTTGCTACCCATTCTCACCCCTGTCATACTCATACGACATAGGAAATGTTTGTTCAGCATCTTGCGGAAGAATCACATACCCAAGCCAAGCTAGACCGCAAACCTCGTCGAAACATCCAATACAAGGATGTCGGTAAGTCAGCTCCCTCATCCTTGGCTCAACAACCCCTTCTAACTTCAATAGCAAGCGCTGTTGCACACCATGACAACCTCGAGTTTCTTGAAGACGTGGTACCAAAGACTGTTCCCTACAAGAACATCAAGGCCAAGGCCAAGGCCACGCAGGCACGTCTCCAAGGTGACAATACCAACCAGAAGCTCGAGTTTCCCCTAGCCAACGGCGTTGGCAAGCCTCTTGTGAACGGCAACTCCATAGCTCATCATGATAGACAGGATGACCCGAACTCGCAGTTGGAGTTGGAGTTCAGACAGGCTTCTGGTGCGAATCGAGATGGAGACGTAGCAATGACTGGCTAGTTATAGTATTGCTCATTTGCTGGATGAATCATGGCAAAAGAGGCGTTTTCAGGGTTAACCGTTAGTCTGCTGAATTAGAAAACGAGGACAAAAGTGGTCTGTCATCATGATGTACATCACAAAACAAATGGCAATCTTGATATTTGGCATCGACTCTCATTTCTTAGGATGGAGCGATAGCCATAATGCGAAAGCGAAATAAATAGTATTTTTTCTGCAATCCCCAAAACAAGTGGTACATAGCCATCATAGTTGTTAAGCTTTATTCCTCCATGGCATCTCCGTGAATACCAGAAGGCAGACGTCCCTCGTTCAGCTCCTTCTCCAGCGCGATAATCTCCTGTAGGCTGGTAGCCTTCTTAATACGCTCCTGTAGTCGCTTCTTCTCGGCGTCCGTCAGCTTTATTCGGGAAAGCTTGGAGGGTGCGTCCGAGCCGTCAGTCGAGGTGTTGAAGGTTGTGGTCTTGATACCCTGGATCTGCGTCGTTGTTAGCGTCGTGCAACTGTTTTATTATTGGCCATGTCCATACCTTTGAAGCCAGAGCTGTTGGCTCTTCTTCAGTTCCGAAGAGCTCGCGAGCCTTCTCCCGCTCAGACTCCTTAACCTTCTCGAAGTCAAGAAACCGCACGGAAGGACACTTCCACAGTACCCAGTATCGATAGTTCTGCATCTTGCATCAGTCATTGCTGCACCAATCGACACGTCTCAAACTGACCTCCTTCTTGGAAACGGGGTTATCCGACAGTACCAAGTGCGTCAAGCGGGGGAATGACGCCAGCGCATCCAAATCCGCAAGCTCTGTCAGATTGTTCGACGATAACACCAGGTTGGCAAGGTTTGGAATGGCCTTAGCCAGAGAGGGCTGAATGCTTGAGACGCGGTTTCGTGCGAGGAGAAGGGTCGTTATGCGAGGCGACAAGGGAAAGTTTCCCAGTACTTGAATGTCGTTATCTGTGAAGTCAATGGCATCGTGAGGCTAAGCTGTTAGCAACAGAGCAACAAGGCAGAGAATTTGGAACTTACACCAGCGACACCCAAGTTTTCAATCGCGGGAATTCGGTGGCCTGTTCACGCCGCAAAGACGATTGTATCAACTCTGCGCTCTCTAGAGATCAAAAATGTAGCATCTGCTCTTTTCAAAACGCACCTCGAAGATCAAGCTCTCGCTCCTTGAGCGGGTTGAGGTAGGATAGGGAATCCCGGATGAGGTCGGCGGTGAGCCGCATCTTGGATTTGGGGCCGTTACCTCGGGTTCAGAAATGCGGTTGCTTGGATTTGGCTCGCTGCGTGGTCGAGTTTGAAGACTGTTTGGAAGGGCGTGCGAATGTCGGTAGTGTTGATTTATGGTAAGGCAAGGCTGCGACTTAACGAGGCGTGGGGGAAATTTTGGTGTCGCGTGTGGCTTGAGCTTAGAGTGGCACACGGGCAGGCCCCAGCCACCATAGACTCAGAGTCAGGGACCAGCAACTCAGTTACAACATATACCAGTCAATCACGGAATGGGGAGTGGATCAGGATATTCGAAAGAGTTCACGTATATTAAACACCTCTTTAGAAGTTCTTACTGTTCTGCACACTACAATAGGACACACTGCAATGTACCTAAGCTTAGCAGTTAATAATAATCTAATTCTTGCTTAGTTGTTCTATCCAGAAACAAGCTACCAGCAAACTAAAAGGTGATTGCTCTTGATGTTTTTATAAATTGCATCGTGTCACCAGCTGTATTCCGGCTCTACTGAAACACAAAGACGACACCCATCCTATCCACCGAAACACTCATAATATATGGGAACTCCAACAACGCCACATCTAAAATAGAATCCACGTGAGACTGCAGCAACTGTTGTTGCTGCAGGGATATAACTGTCGATCGAGGTGGTCGGGCAGTCGATGACTTGGCTCTTGATCCAGAACCAGCATTTGGGGCCGTTGGAGCCTGTCTCGGAAAACGCTCCATGTTCAACGTCAGCGCCGTTGTTGGGTGCGAGGTCGTGTAAGTCGGTTTAGGTAGATCTGGGGACAGCCCACTGTAGATGAACGAGCTCTCCATCCGAGACAGATCCCAGAAGCGAAGTCTTTTATCTGATCCGCCAGTGACGATAAAGGCGTGTCTCACGTCTCTCGAATCTTCTGCAGTTGCAGTTCCGACAACCATGGCACGTACTCCACGATCGGCGTTGGCGATTTCGTTGGGTTCGATGCTAGTAGCATATCGTCCGAGCATGCCTTCTCGCTTATCTTCGTCCACATCCCATGGCTCATACGCTTTGAGTCCATCCTTGCTGCCACCCGTTCTATAAATTTCTCGGCAGACGGTTTTCTCCAGGTCCCAAACCGTCACCTCGCCATGTCCAGTACCGCCAGAAATGCATACCCATTTGCCACGGCCTTTGGTAGGATGGATGCAAATTCGGTAGATTGACCCTTTGCCTGGTAGGCCCCAACCCTTGAGCCTCATCTTGAAACGCAGATCCCAGAGGTCAACAACTCCATGAGAAGTGCCCACGCAAAGCCAGTTGCGCTTCCTATCCACGCAAAAGCAAGTTGGCGTTCCATGGTGTACTGGGTTCTCGAGAGTGTATAGAAGACTCATGGTCCTCAAGTCGATACCAAGAATCCTTGAGCGGTTAGTAGCGATGACAAGAATCGAGTTCGATTCTTGTCTAAAATGTTCACACCACACCGCGAACTCGCCATCTGGTAGTTGATACTCTCGCAGAACGCGCAATTTGCCATACCTAATAACGCCACCAGCAGATACGGTGTCAACCTTCACGACGTGAACGGTACCATCAGATGCACAGCTCACAAAACAATGCGAGTTCTCCACAAAACAGAGAGCGACAACTCGTGTGCTATCTCCGTGTTTGTGGAGTTGACGAGAACGGTGTGTAATGTTTCGCTCGAGCCTAGCCGTATCCCAAACCCTCACAGTACCGTCGTCGCCGCCAGTGATGAAAAAAACGTGGTCAGGGGATGGTAAAACCCTATTGATAGGGCTTTTGTGTTCGGAAAACGTTGCAACAAGTTGTCCGACCGGCTTCCAAGGTTCCTCGCCAGGTTGAACACTGGCGCGACTTGCTTTGCTCCTCTTGATCGGGGTGACCATAGGCCCAAATTCGATAACATCACGAGGAAAGTTATCAACATACATGTTATCCAGCATTCTTTGTATGCTTGGATCGTTGCCTGCGTAACTATGTTTCGACACCCGGGAGCCGGTAGTATCGCCTTCATTCCCTTCAGAGGAAGCTTGCTGGTCGGCTGAAGTCTGAGCAAAAGGCCCCTCAACCTCACCAAATGCATTCGCGTCGGTGGTGCCAGTTTGTGCGATCGATTTGTTCTTGTCCTTGCGGTCAAGGAGACTCAGGGCGCTTGCCTGATGGCGCACTGCATTTCTAGAAGGTGGCTCTCCTTGAGACGGTCCATCGTCGGCTGTCTGCATCAGCTGCCCTGCGGAGGGTGCTCTAGTATGCGTTCGACCAGCGCTAGTTGGTGAAAGGAGACGGCGTGATGAACGAGGTCCGACACTTTGCACTCGTCGGTTGTTGTTCACCCTCTTTTTTCCACCAGCCGAGTCGTCAATGGTCATGGAGGCGTCCAGGAGGGCATCTGCAATTGTGTAAGGCTCCGCTGGTGGTTCAAGATCCACGACTGCATTGGGATCTCGAAGTGGCGCGTCATTGAAGAACACCGTCTGAGGAGTGACTCCCAATGATTTGAGAGATACTACACCACTGGGTGTGGCACCATCTGATGTCGGAGTATCACGCGCCTTTATTTTACTTAGACGCCAAATGAACTCGCGCAGGGCATCGAGCTTCAACTCATCCTCATGCTTGAGCCCGAGGTTTCTGAGTTTTGTCAACCATTGCTCATCTTCGTCATTTCGAGCCACTCGCCCCATGGAGCTTTGCATTAAGTCCCGAGAGGCACGGCTTGATGTTGACCCTTTAGAGCCGAACAACAATGGTTTGAGCTGTTGCAGGGGCTTCCAGTAGATACCGCGTTCTGTCTTCGAGGCCCACGTTATAGCCTGGTCAAAGACATTTCGAGCCAATGGCCTCTTGAGAGCATCAAGTATGTTGAGCTCGGAAAAGTCTGAGAGAACCTCCACTTTCAGGAAGGGTTTTACAAGAGGCATCAGATTGCACCTCATATCAGCAGGTGGTAAGTACCGTGCCGACATTGATAAGAATTCTGCCGCTGATTCGCGGATCCAGATGTTTGGGTGCATCGTGAATCGGCTGATGAGGTCAACTAGCTCCCAAACCTTGGGCCTTGATAACAAACCAAGCCCAGCGAGCTGAGCAAGCGAATGGAGAGCGGCCTGTACCACGTACTCCTCTGGATCAGTCAAGGCTTGTATCATCAAGGGGAGCATGAACTCCTCCAAACTCGTGCTTCCGATGAAGGCTGCGATACCGACAATCGTATCAAAAAATGCGCATTTCAGCGTCCAATCTCGATCATTCAGATATGTGTTAAGATGAGTAAGGAGGACATCGTTTGAATGATGGTCGAAGAAGAGGCATAGCTCGGGTACGGAGGCCAAAAATGCTCTGCGAACCGAAATGTCCGGGTCTTCTACCAATTGTTTTGAATGGCTCTCAAGAACCTCAAAAAGCTGTCGCCCAGCGTTGTCAAAGACGCTCTCGAAGTTGGCCTTGGCATCCGCTCCAGGTTCGACTTCAGGATCAGTAATAGGCATCGAGCCATCAGCTCGAAGGCTTGAGGCCATATTGAGGAATCTCTGTGCAGTAGTCGCAAGACTGCCGAGACAAGAAGCATAAGCTGCTCTGACCAAAGAACTGGGTACCCTTGATCTGGACCCCAGCGCGATTTCCATGCGAGGTAATACATACTCTACCAGGACATGAGAGTTGAATGCATTGACTGTCTGCACCAGCTGCAAAAGCTGAGTAATGGTTCGAATAGCAGCAATCAACACTAGATCTGTCTCATCTGGGACAAGAAGTGTCATTAGATATGGCAA